CTCTCTCTCTCTCTCTCTCTCTCTCTCTCTCTCTCTCTCTCTCTCTCTCTCTCTCTCTCTCTCTCTCTCTCTCTCTCTCTCTCTCTCTCTCTCTCTCTCTCTCTCTCTCTCTCTCTCTCTCTCTCTCTCTCTCTCTCTCTCTCTCTCTCTCTCTCTCTCTCTCTCTCTCTCTCTCTTTACTTATTCGTGTTTATTAGTTCTGTACGCTTTTTTCTGGCTTATCCGTTAACAAGTTTTAATAACGTCTAGCGCACGTTCTAGCAGCAATATTGCAGATATGCACTTGCGTACGTCTCTTGTAAAGTTCCTCTACAGCCGTTGCCACCTGTCGAAGGTACGACGTGAAAGCGCTCGCGCTCACGGAACAAATCAAACAAAGATAAAAACCTGTTTCTCGGTAAAAGCGAGTTGTAGTTTTATTTTGAAATCATGCGTCGATTAATGGACGTTGCTATGCGAATCTTTAGCAACCGCGAGTGCTGGGTTCCTTCATAGCTTATGTGGACAACGACAGCCTGATTAGCCGATAAAATGTTAGAAATACGTGTTCCAGCTGCATGACAATTGGCGAAAGGAAATGCATACACACGTCACTCTAACGCGCATTGTGAGAGCATTTAAAAGGTTTCGTGCGTTCGTTTAAACTTCGAATGAATATTTCCTATACAGCACCGACTCCGGTGGGCTACGGTTGGCAGTCATGCACACGGACAAGCTCTCGCTCTCACCTCCTAATCCATACAATTACCACAACCCAGACACTCAATTACCCAGACACTCATATTGAGCCTAAAATTATGGCGATACTTAGCTCTTTGTCCATGGCAAGGCGGCAGGCGGATGTTATGCAACAGTTCTTACATTCCACGTTTATTGCGCACTGCGTATGGCACCGTGCTGCTTACTGCCCACCTGTCCTTACATGACATCGAAAGCCGTAGAAGCACGTGTTAGAAATTGATCTATAGTCAAGTTATGGTTATAGTTAAAACTGAAAATATTTCTATCATAATTAGATGACATTTATTACCATTTATTTTCCCGTTTCTATTGACTATGAAACTATTCGCGGTTAACATTAAGCAATTAAATTTGCTAATCATGACACCCGTGTTTAAACGTCGTATTTAACCGTCATTATTTAAACGCCCGTAGCTACGCGCTAAATGAAGCACATTGGACTGAGTCTGAGGCTACATGGAAGTCTCTCATTGTTACGCACCTTGATGACTAATTAGATGCTAATTACAGCTATGACTCACACTGCGGTCCCGTAGCAAACGAAACGAGTTTTAAACGCGAGTTTGAGTTTGAGAGTTTTTCTCGCGTTGCATTCATCTATATCCTTGACACTCGCGTTTTACGGCGCTCTCGTATTTCGTGACTATTATTAATTATAGCTTGATTATTTGTCGAAACCAACCCGTCGTTTTTTGATGGTGATAAAGTTTATAATGATAGACGGAGGGTGAGGGCCACAGCGATGACGTGGCTGGCTCTAACATTGCGCTCCTGCACAGACAGGCTTGTACACGGAGAAGTTAAACGAAGCGATGTAAACATAACGCGACAGTATAATTATTATATTATTTCCTCCGCCAAGGTATGTTTTCGCCCCTGTTAGTTTGTGTGTTTGTTAGTTTGTTTGTTTGTTTGTTGGTGTGTTGGTTTGTCTGTCAACAGGATATCTCAAAAAGTTACGGACGGATTTTTATAAAACTTGGGCCAACCATTTTGGTGGTGATCCGGATCCAGGATTTAATTAAAAAAACAATTATTTTGTGGGGAAGACTTCGAACGCATTCACAATTCATAATAAAATCCTAGATCTTTTGTTTTCGAATTTCTGAAAATTTCATCAAACTCTATATTGGGTGTACTAGCAAGATGGACTGTTACGATGTGGCGGAGGTTTGCTATCTGTGATTGCTCTTGTCTTGCTCTGTGATTGATGTATTCACGCGTTTTACGGTCGGCCGATGATTGCGTTACGATAAGGGACGCCATGTGACGGACGAGGATAACGTGTAATACTTGTGCTTATAGCGCACAAGTACAAGAGAGTGTGAAAGAGCGAGAGAGCGCGAGAGAAAGAAAGAAAGAAGGATAGGGAGAGAGAGCCAGAGAGAGAGAGAGAGACAGAGAGAGAGAAAGAGAGAGAGACGAGGGGGAGAGAGAGAGAGAGAGAGGTGAGAGAGAGAGAGAGAGAGAGAGAGAGAGAGAGAGAGAGAGAGAGAGTGAGAGAGAGAGAGAGAGAGAGCTGCTATCCATTTCACGTTATGGTGATAGTTTGTGTCGATGGATCGCGAAACTGACAGCGGTTGCAAATTTTGTTCCCAGATTTTCACTGACACTGACCAGCGCGTGGACACTAGGACAAATCTAGGATGGATTCCTGCTACCAGGCGGATGCCTCTCATGCTCGTCAATCGACGAGAAATGCCGACGACATGGGACACTAACTCGCATCTCTCGCTCATCGTTGTGTAAAGTCTAGTGGAAACGTCGCAGGGATGTTGATCTCGAAACATCTAGAACGTTTCAAACGGCCGAAGTCGTTCACGGCGGAGAGCAGCGAGGAGCCGGACTTCTTCGCGCGAATACCCGATGAGGTAATCGTCCGCATCTTCGCAGCGCTGCTGCCAGCTGTCGGCCATCTTCCGAAGCTCAGTCGCGTCTGCCGGCGCTGGTATATTCTATCGCAGGTAATTACTGTTAAGCAGATTATTTATAAATTACAATATTGCTAGTTTTAATTTAATATTATTGTGATTTTTTTAAATATTATTTACTATAACATATTTTATATTACTTTATATTATTATTATTATTATTATTATTCTATTAGTTACTTATTGCCCGTATAACAAATAGCATTTAATGGTTACTTTTATTCGCTAAAATGTGCGTATAGTATCATATTTGCCTATCGTTCCTATACGACTACATTAAGATATTTCGGTAGCGCTATTAACGATGATGATGATAATTCTGATCTCCTATGAATCATGAATCATGTTTACTCGTCAAAGCAGACACGATGTAGTTCATAGTTCTATAAGAATGCGATGGTGGCGGCACGTCAGATTATTGAGTCCTAATTGTTGGGATTAAATGATATAGATGTCATGGAAGGGGAACGCGAAAATGTGATCGTTGTGTAGCGCACAGTATTGGAATAATTACGAAGAAGAGCTAAGCGGGTCACAAACAGCATGAATATCTTTCTCTACACACATACCGCACAAACACACTGTAGTGATACGAATTATAAATATATTACGAATATTAATATAGTATAGAATATATACGATCGTATTTACGGACACTATAAACGATTTTGCTATCGCAGGATCCCGTGCTATGGACGCATCTTGACTTCCAATGTGCGAATCGTTCGTCGCGACTGCAGAAGGCGGTCTTCAAAGACTTCGTGCAGAAATGGCACCGGGTCACGTGCCACGTCGATCTCAGTGGCGTCGGCATGTACGTCACCGACGGCTACCTTAAGTACGTCGGCAAATACTGCCAGAAGCTCGTCGTGCTCAATCTGTCCGGCTGCTCGCGTGTAACTGATAAAGGTCTGGTGCATCTTAGCAGCGGATGTAAGAAACTAAAGAGTCTCACGCTGCAGTCGTGCCCGGAAGTGACGTGTCAGGGCGTGACGCAAGTCGCTAAGCAGTGCGTCAATCTAGAATGTCTCGTCATGACCGACTGCGAGGGCCTCTGGCGGGATCCGCATCACATGCGCGCGATGTCGACGTACTGTACCCGTCTGAAGTCGTTCAGCGTCGCCTGCACGACGGCCGTCAGGGGGATCATGATCGATCGCGATATCCGCTTCTTCGCGCTCTTCTGCACGCAGCTGAAACAATTGAACGTCGCGAGTTCGCAGATCACCGACGCGGCGATGAAATACATCGCCAAGTACTGCGTGCAGCTCGTCGATCTAGGGGTCGCCTATTGTTGCGTCACGGACAAGGGCTTCCGGCACGCCTTCCCCAAGTTGCAGCGACTGGATTTGAAGGGCTGTTGGAACGTGACCGACGTCGGAGTAAAGTCGATCGCGCAGCACAGCCGCGAGATGCGTCGGCTTGACCTCAGCTGGTGCTTCCGCGTCACCGACGTCGCGCTCGTGCATCTGGCGCGACGGTGTCGCCGTCTGGAGACGCTCACGCTCGAGCATTGCCTCGCCGTCAGCGTGACCGGGATTGTGAGGCTGTCGGAGAGCTGTCCCAACCTGCAAACACTCAACGTCGGCTCCATGAACCTACACGCAAGCGTCGGTCGGCTGCGACCGTCGCTGACGCGTCGCTACGACGGCCGACAGAGCGCGCCACCTGCCGAGAGACGACAAGACGGCCGACGGCAGGGGGCGCCACCTGCCGAGAGTCGACGACCGCGCTCTGCCGTCATACGCGAGAGCATGCTGGAGAGTGCCAACAGTCTACCAAGCATTCTCGAGTATCAGAACGCCGGCAGGGAGACTCTAGATGGGCGCGCACGTCTTTCGTCGTCGTCGACGTCGCAGCTCGGCCGCCAGACGGCGCTGCATAGGCTTCATCAGTCATTCGACAGTATTATTGAGACCGTGAATGGCGTGAAGAGGGTCGGTGGCACAGCACCGCCTATCGACGAGTGTTGTAAACTACAGTCAGGCGTTCGAGTTTGTAAAACTCTGTGAAGGCGTTGTTCGGGGTGACGTTCACGACGTGCCTTCATGTGGCAATGGCTACCTAGCTAGTACACACACACATACACACACACACACACACACACACACACACACACATACACATACACACACACGCACACACACATACACACACACA